ATCAAACCCCAAATCTAATCAATGAATTCTCTCATTTAGCGAATGTTTCCTGAACATTTCCTGTGTTCAAGTACATTTTGCTGGGTGGAAAACGTGGAAGGGGACACTGTTCTTGGGCTCCAAGAATGCAAATCAGACGCTAACAAATACACAATCAAGAAATGACTAGATTCGGGTGTTTTCAGAAATGAAGAGAGTAGTACATTAAAAAAAAGTTTGAGAAAGCTAATGAGGCTAACCCACTTCATCTTAATCACTATTATCATCAGTTCATACTTAAATCGGTGGCCAAAGTATGCGAGAACGTCAAGTTCACCACAGTGAGTTTAAGTATACATAACAGAACACAGAAAACATGTACTTTTGTGTGTTTAAATAAGAAAAATAAAAATTTAGATTATTATATACTGGATAACTGCACCAGTGAACAAGGAAATAGTGCCTATTCCTGGTACCATTTGAACATCAGTGTGACATACTGAGAGAAAAAGTAATTGCATAAACCCAAGACAATGCTCATGACTGAAAAACACATTATACTGTCTTTGTCTTTGAGCTGATTCACTTTATATGTTTCTCTAAAACAGAATCGTAACAAGCCAATGGAAACAAAATGAAATAGAACATGTTTTTCTGCCTTTTGCTCCTTTGGGAATAAGCTCAAATCTTCACATATTGATGAAAGCTGTCTGTCCCTGTGGCTGCTGAATGTTCACATGAATGTGTTGATGGAGTCTGCAGCCTCTGATCACGGGCTGAAATCAGACAGAAAGTAGGTGACAGCAATCACAAAATTCTAGGTGGGGAACAAAATGCTAGCAGTATGATGACTGACTATCCCACTTACTTTAGTATTCTTGTTTTAGTGAAAAACTTGGAGAGGAGTAAAACCCCATACACACTGAGTTTTTGAACCTACAGTGCAAGAATATACATAGTTCTCTACTGTCTCTTGTACCTGGAATGGCCTTCCCTTATGTATTCCAACAGTACATCCACTGACTCCAATCAAATGTCACCTGCTCAGAAATAACTTCCCAGACTACCCTATCCACAATTTCAGCACCCCTCTCCTATCATTCTTTGACTCCTTACTATGCTTTCAGTTGGGATAATATATGTTATAGTGCCATAACAACCAGTCCCCAAATGTCAATGGCTTTTTTAAAAGTTTATCACTTATGAAAATCTACTGCCATCTGGGCATCTCTCCCAGCCAGTGTTCCCCCATGAGTTCTCATCAATATGAGCCAACACATTTGCCACAGCAAGTTGAAGTGAGGTAGAGAATCAAGGCCAGCAAATAAATGCTTCCATCCTGAAGTGACACAGATCACTTCCACTCACATTTCATTGGCCAAAGCCAACTAAAATACAAGTGGGCAGAGAAGTGTCATCTTCCTATGTTTTTCTAATTAGATAAAGTACCATCCAAGTCATCATGCTTTATTTTTCTTTGTAATACTTTTCACCTAACATTTGTAATAGATTTTATTTTTTATTATCTGCCTCTTCTCACTAGAATATAAGCACTGTGAGGACAAGGACTATGTCTGTTCACTACTATAGCTTCATATCTTAGAACAGAGATTCTCAATAAATATTTGCTGGATGAACAAATAAAAATGCAGGAAATGATATGCCTTACACCATAAATTACAAGCTCAAATGCCTAAAGAACCCAGCTATTAATATAATGAGGGAAGAAAGCAAAGTTGGAAACTTGCCTAAGTAGAGAACTTTTGCCACTACCAAAAACTTGCCAGTTGTTTCCTTGATGGATTATGCGCCTGGAGTAGCCAGCTTCTCTAATTTTTCATGAGAAGTTAAAAATCTGAATTTTTAGATGAAGTTTCTGATTTTTTCATCATGTGGTTTAAGTTTTCAAAACTTTTCATACCCAGTAAACATAAGGTCAGTCTATGCCTCTGCTTTAGGTGAAGAAACTGAAAGTGTGTGTCTTGAGATTTATAAAGGTTGAGTTAAATGGAGAAAGAGAAGAGAGAGAAAAAAAATGGCATCCTCACGTCCATTTCTCCATCATCTAAATTGCAATATGGAGGGATCTCTGCTCCGTCTTCACCTCCCACTCCTGCCCCTCTTTACCCAGGAATTTAGAAAACTACTTTCTTATATTTACAGCACATGTATTTATTGTCAAGTCCTGTGAACAGTAAGAAAGGATCCATCCTGCATTCACTGATGCTATGGTGTGAATATATAACAATATCTAAATAAATAAGAAGCCATGGGGAAAGTTCTCCAAGGTTAAAATAGTTAGAATAAAGAACTGCTGTGATTAAAATGGCACTGGCAGAATAAAAGACCTAATATCTACTTCATATAATAGATGAGGTTTAAACCAGGAACTCTTCTCAGTAACCAATAATTTGACCTGATTACATAATGAATGTTTCTTTTTCTTCGCCCTAAAGTTGAACTTTGTATATTGAGGGGCTGCCAAACACATTTTCACTGTAAAGAAATGTTGTTTTCAATTGTATCACCCATGAGGTTTAAATTCAGATGAAAATGTTCAAAAATCAAATTTCTGTATTTCTTTGGATCTAGCGTTGGGTGGTTAAGCAAGCAGTGTCAATTCTACTTTTCTTCTCCAGAGGGAATTATTGCTGAGCAAGGTCAATCAAACTCTAGGTATAATTGTTCATTTCAGTGGCCCTAAGCCCACACTTGGGAGTTTTCCAGCTGTGGAATCAATGAAAAATACCCTGGACTCTCCAGTCAGGAACACAGTATTGGATTCCTGGCAGCCCACTTTTCTAAGGAAACAACTGAATTAAAATAGGCCTGCCCCTCCTCTCTTGCAGATAATTTTGCCATCATGCATCTGACATCTAAACATCCCACATGCTATTTTCCCTGCATGGAGCTGCCATTTCAGATCTCTGTTGGTATGTCTGTCAGATATTGGCTTTAATTCTAGGATTGAGGAAATAAGAAATATTCAATAGTGGGGCACCTGGGTGGCTCATTTGGTTGGGTATTTCCCTGCCCAGTCCCATCCTCCAGTTGAAACCTTCACAAGATATAGACTGGTGAACTTCTGACATACTTGAAATTCACCTTCTCACTAGGCTATCCTACACATCACTGAATACCATGAATTTGAGTATTGCCTTGAAATAAATAAGGTCTCTAGTCCCTGGTTTTTAAAACAAAATAACCAAGAATGAAATGGAAAATCTTGTTCTTACAGAGGTAAATGAAAATATGAAAATCTCTGGAGATAGTGTATGAGGAAAATAAAATAACTTTCATAGAATTTTGGAAAACATTCATTTATGCTTGTAAATATTGACTTGATTCTGAAAATATTTATACCGTGAACACTCCAAAAGAGTTCCCTTTGAAGTAGCCACTTATTTTGTACATAAAAACACAATTTCAGTTAACATGGCATCTTAAGATTACGCGTTGGTATTTCCTTTTGCACACACACAAATACAGCCTAGCAAACAGTCAAGACTTCTGGCTAGGTGGCCAAATCTTCCTTCCAACTCACAAACTATCCATGTCCCCTAAACTGGTTCTGGATTAAACAGTCCTAGAAGACCATGCAAAAGTAGGAACAAAACTCCTGAGCAGTAAGAGGGTAGTGCGGCTGGCATGAGGAGAGAAAGAACTTGTAATATGAGAAAAGCATATAAACCAAAATGTTTAAATACACAAAGAACTCAAATACTGAGAAGGACAAGCCAGCAAAATGAACTACTGGGAGATTAATTCAAACCAGGGAGGACTAAAATCGTAAGAAAAGGAGAGAAAGATCTGAAAATGAGTATACTCAGATTCTTCAAAATGATAAATTATGAGCAAAAATTATAAAACAATAAGAAATTATGAAAGAAACAGAAATATGACAGTAATAGGTGGGTGAGAAAAAGAACCAATTAGAAATCTTGAAAATGAAAAGCATAGCTATTAGGATTTAAAACAATCAAACAGACAAGACAATAGGTCTAAACATGGATAGTTTGTGAGTTGGAAGGTTGTCCTGAGGGATTCACCAGGAATGAAGCATGAAGGAATAAGATGATAATTATGAACAATGACATGGAGTATGACTTCTCACAGAAATTCTATGGAAAGAGAATACAGGAAATTGCAGAAAGCCCTATAAGAAGATAAGAGATGAGAATGTACCTAACTCAATTACGCATCCTCAGATTCAAAATGCATGTTATAGGCAAAGCAGGATGAGGAATGTTGAATCTATACCTAGACAGAAAAGCTAAACTTAAAAGTATTCAGAATATGGGCACTTGGGTGGCTCAGTTGGTTAAGCAACTGCCTTCGGCTCAGGTCATGATCCTGGAGTCCCGGGATAGAGTCCCGCATCGGGCTCCCTGCTCAGCGAGGAGCCTGCTTCTCCCTCTGACCCTCCCCCCTCTCATGTACTCTCTCTCATTCTCGCTCTCTCAAATGAATAAATAAATCTTTAAAAAAAATATTCAGAATAAAAAATATATATATTAAAAGCTGCCACAAAGGGAAAAAAAACAAAAACAGATTTTCTACAAAGAAAAACTAATCTGACTGACAAACAGCAGGCTTCTGAAGAGCAACAATAAAGCCCAAAAGTATAGATGCTAAAAATAGAAGAGTGGAAACTAATACAAATATTGAAATAGACTCCATAGCTTCCAAAGAGCAGATTTAAAAAATAATAATAATGATAAAGAAAATAATTTATTAACAATCCAGCAGGAGGGAGGAAAGCAAACAAAACAACAAAGCAATATATTAGAATCAATTGCAGTTCCATATGTTAGCAACAAACAATCAGAAATTGAAGTTTAAAAATAATCCTATTTATATTAGCATCAAAAATATAAACTACTTAGGGAGAAACCTAACAGTATGTGCAAGATTTACACCATGAAAACTAAAACACATTGCTGAGAGAAATTAAAGACCTAAATGAATAGAGGTGTGACCACGGATTAAGAGAGTCAATATTTTTAAGATATTAAGCCTTTCCAAGTTGATGTATAGATTCAACACAATTCCATTCAAAATCCCAGCAGGGCAGCATTTCACCAAATTTGAACAGATACTTCACTAAATGTAATATATGGATGGCAAGTAACATGGCAAGATGCTTGACCTCATGAGCACTAGGAAAATGCATTTTAAAACCACAGTGAAGTACTACTCCATGCCTATTAGAAAAGCTGAAGTTAGAAAGGCTGGCCATAACAAATGTTAGCAAGAGTGTGGAGTGACTGGAACTCTCATACACTTCTGGTGGGGATAGAAATGATAAAACAATTTTGGAAAACATTTTGGCAGTCTCTTAAAATTTTTAAAATACATCCGCCATATGATCAAGCATTTTAATTCTAGGTATTTATCTGAAAGAGAAAAAAAGTGTCCACAAATAGACCACTCCATACCTATGAGAATGGTCCAAAACCAAGTCACTGACAATACCAAATGTGGTGACTGTGGAGCAACAGGAACTCTCATTCATTGCTGGTGGGAATGCAAAATGGTCCGGCCACTTTGGAAGAAAGTCTGGCAGTTTCTTAAAAAAATTAAACATACTCTTACATATGACCCAGCAATCACACTCCTTGGTATTTACCCAAATGAGTTGAAAACCTAGGTCCACACAAAAATCTGCACATGATGTTTATAGAGGCTTTATTCATAATTGCCAAAACTTGGAAGCAACCAAGATGTCTTTCAGTAGGCAAATGGATAAGTAAACTGTGGTACATCCAGACAATGGAGTATTATGCATCATAAAAGGACATGGAGGAGGGGTGCCTGAGTGGCTCAGCTGGTTGAACATCCAACATCCAACTCTTGATCTCAGCTCGGGTCTTGATCTCAGGGTCATGAGTTTGGACTCCACGTTGGGCTCTAAGCTGGGTGTGGAGCCTACTTAAAAAAAAAAGGCAAAAAGACATGGAAGAAATTTAAATGCATATTACTAAGTGAAAGAAGCCATATGAAAAGGCTACATACTGTATGATTCCAACTATATGACATTCAGGAAAAGACAAAACATGGAGATAGTATAAAGATCAATGGTTGTCCAGGGCTTGGGAAGAGATGATTGTTAGGACAGTAAATCTATTCTGTATGATGATATAATGGTGGATATATGTCATCATGTATTTATCAAAACCCATAGAATGTACAACACCAGGATGGAACCCTCACATAAGCTATGGACTTTGGGTGACAATATTATTACATTGTAGGTTCACCAATTATAACAAATGTCACTCTGGGAACTCTGTGCTTTTTGTTCAATTTTGCTATTATCTAAAACCACTCCACAAAAACTAAAGTCTGTTAAAAAAAAAAAAATCTGTACACAATTGTTCTTACCAGATTTATTTGCAATAGTCAAAATAGTCAAAAACTAGGAACAACCCAAGTGTACGTCAACAAGTAAATGAATAAACAAATTGTGATATATCCGTGTAATGAAATACCACTTCACAATAAAAAGAATTATTGATACAGAAAGAATATGAAAAGCCTCAGAATAACTATGCTGATTGAAATATGCTAGACAAAAAGAGTACATATTGCATGATTCCATTTATATTCTAATATTACAGAGAGCAGATCAGTGGCTGCTTGGAATGGTGGGATGGGACAGGAGGGAAGGATTGCCAAGGAGCATTAAGTAACTTTAGGGATAGGTTTGTTATCTTGATTGTGGTGATGGTTTCACAGATAAATAGAGATAGATGACCGATAGATCAATAAACAGGTTATAGATGATAGATGTCAGAAATTAGCAAATTGTGCACTTCGAACATGTGCAGTTTAGTATGTCTGTTATACCACAATAAAGCTGTTTTTAAGGTTGTTGTTTTTTTTTTTTTTTTCAAAAAAGGAAATAAATACTAAAGAAAATCAAGAATATCTGAAGGTGATTTTTTGGAAAATGAATTAACTAAACACATTTTTGGTAAGATCAATCAAGAAAAATCAAAGAAGGAACAAATAAACTCTAACATTCAAATTGGAGATTTAGGTGAAAAAAATCACAATTTTATGTCAACAATATGAAAACTTAGATGAGAAGAACCAGTTTTTAGAAAATCATCAACTATCAAATTGAGTTAAGGAGAAGGAGAAAATAAGAATAAAGCAGTAAGTTAACTAACTGTACTGTGGTATTCATTTTACAATATATACATGTATCAAATCACCAAAATTGAACACCTTAAACTTACATATGTTATATGTCAATATCTCAATAAAGCTGAAAAACTTTTTTAAAAAATAAAAAGCTAAAAAAAAAAAGAATAAAGCAGTAACTATTGGTTATGGGTTGAATTGTATGCCCTCCCCTGAAGCTGATTAAACTCTTTGGCATCCCAGCTGTCTTGCCAGAATGGAGTACCCACCACAAGTTAACATTAAGCCCCTGTGTATTGTACCTCAGGGACATGAAGACTCCTCTGGGGACACAAAGACCCAGTGATCTACGTAAACCTCACTTCACACTCTCAAATCATAGACTCAATGGAGTGGGACCTCTCTTGTAAGGGTCAACAAACGGATAAAGACCTTATGTGAATTTCCTAGTATAATTTAGTTTCTGTTACAAAGCCAAAACACAGAAGTCAGAAATCTTACATCTGTATTTATGGACATTTTTTATATGTAAATGGTAAACATGAAAGGTGTGTGTTGTTACCCAAGATACTAATTTATAACCTTTATGGTTATATAAATATAACCATATATACCTTTAATATAAAAAGGTAATAAGGAAGTACAAAACAGCACTTAAGCATGAGACAAGGAAGTGTCTCTGCCTTTCAGGATGATATCCATGACCTGAGCACACTCCATGTTGGTTCTCCTTAAATGCTCTTATAGGCCTTCTCTACTATGCAAAACACTCATCCAAGATGACCTAAACAGTGGGTGAGAAATGCCAAATTCATGCCTTACGTGATCTATCTGTTGTGTTATCTGGTAAGTTACTTGGAAACAGCAAGCATTTCATTATTTTAACAAGGGAATAGAACCGACCTGTCCTGAGTGATTTCAGTGTAGTCTCCATTTGACAATCCATGAAGATGATGTAACCAAAAGCAGCTCATTAATCTCATCCTAAGTCTTAAATTCCAAGTCACAGTAAATCAGATTTAAATGAGTTTCCACTGAACAAAGTTAGAGAATGATTTTTTATGATAGATAGGACATTTTATTACTTCAGTGTTTGTTGCAATGAGTTACAGAAAACTCACCTTAAAAAAAAAATTGTTTGAACTCTGAATTACTCTTGGACCACAGCTGAGTTTCAGTTAGTAAAAAAAAAAAAAAAATCTGAATCTCCCCTAATTCGTAGGTACAGCCTGCTAGTAAAGAAAGGTATTTGTATATTCGAGCAAATTGGAAGTCAGTGCCTTAAAACTTCAGACCAGTTCTGTTCACAGAACTTGCTGCAATGATGGAAATGTTCTAACTTCTATGCTGCCCAATACAGTAGCTCTTGACACTTGAAATGTAGCTAGTGTGGCTGAGGAACTGAGTTTTTAAAATGTTACTTAGGTTTATAACTTATTCTAATTTTAATAGCTGTAGTGGCTGGTAGCCGCCATTATTGGACAGAGCAACATGGGGCCATACCTTGTGCCAAGTGAAATAAATTAGGTCTGAGTAGGGCGCCTGGGTGGCTCACTTGGTTAAATTAGGTCTGAGTCATTATTTTATTATTGATAGTAGTGATGTAACTGAGAATGTAAATATCACAGCAGCATTTACAGGTAATTTCACCATTCCCACTGACCTCTTCAGACAATACTCTGAAGTCAATGGGCTAAGCACTATCACTCCCACTACATGTGAGGAAACTGATGCTCTCAGACATACTACATGATTTAAGTGAGCTGTGACTCAAAATACTTTCCACCAAACTGCAAGAGAAACCACGGAAGAATATGATGGAACTTACCAGTAGGCTTATCTAAATTTGGGGTGAGGGGAGAGACAGAGAGAGAGGAAGAGGGAGAATGTAAATCCACACAGCCAACACTGGACATTTTTTTTTTTTTAAAGATTTTATTTATTTATTTATTTGAGACAGAGAGCACATGAGAGGGGGGAGGGTCAGAGGGAGAAGCAGGCTCCCTGCCGAGCAGGGAGCCCGATGCGGGACTCGATCCCGGGACTCCAGGATCATGACCTGAGCCGAAGGCAGTCGCTTAACCAACTGAGCCACCCAGGCGCCCCAACACTGGACATTTTTGTCAAGTAAAGAGCTAGGTCACATTGTGCGCAAGCATGTTTCACTAGTGTCAAAGACCAACTTGGTGAATTTCTGACATGGGTGGGGCCCAACTGAAGACCCACACATGTTTTCTCCTGTCACTGCTCTGCAAGCCATAGAGGTTTTTTTCTGCTTTTCCTTCTCTTTCCTTTCCACGTTTGTGCCAGTCTTTTTCTCTCTGTTTCATGCTATCTCAAGTCAGAAAATTTCTGTATTAAAATGGTAATTCTTATATAACAATCTAATAAAGCACTGGGAAGAGCAACAGACTTTCTTTGTCTTTGGAAAATGCACTGGAACTTGTAAGAAGAAAAATCCATCTTCTTTTAAAAATTAGCATAATGAAATATACTAAATTGAATATGTATGGTGGGTAATAGCTTAGAGGAAAATGAATTGCACATTCTAGTGTCCAGTCAGTTTGCAGACATATTAATGAAGGCCCTATAAACCTGTTTTTGTGATAAGTCTGTGCAGCACTCTGCTAGAGAGATGGGACCCATGTCACCGAGAAAGACCCCAGTACTGCTGAACAGCTTACAGTTTATACATTTACATTGGAAAGGCAAACGTTTAAACTGGCCCATCTAAAACCTAAGCCTGTGGTTTCGTGGATTCTAGATAATTGAAAACAGGACTTCAGTGCACTAAATCCACCTCTCCTGGGCTCTTCGCCATAACACGCTCCAATCTGAAAACACTTGTTTTGAAAGAAGCCTCTTATACAAAGGCAGGAGAAAAAGGGAGATGGAGAAGAAGAAAAATTATTGCCAATATATTATAGCAAACACACTTGTCACTTGCTAAAATATATACTTTGCCCAGGTTGCCCTTCTGCTAATATCATTACAGCTCTCCAAATAATAGTTAAGGTCCCTGAACCTCCCAGCCCGCTTTTACAAACAGTAGAGGAAGAAAACCACCTGAGCCTGTAGGGCTGGGGCCACTAACTGCCCATCCCCACCAGTCACCACAGGTTCACAGACCCAGGGAGCCTGGCTGGAAGAACCTTCCATGGCAGTCACAACATGTCAGTGAGCATTGTTTTTAACTCAGATGGCTGTTGTGTACCTCCAACATTATAAAGGTTATAAAATATTGAGAAGAATAGAACATATTTTCTAGCCAGAGAGATTTTTTTAAAAGAATTCTTATGGGGAATTTACAGTTTTGATTGTAAATACGGGCAAAACAAAACTACGCGGAATATATAAATATGCGTGCTGTTTTGGAGGTAGAGATAAAAATCAATTGAATAAATTCTCTCTTCTCCATTTTAATAAAATATTTCTGTTTGTTATTTATTTTATCAATTTTTATGGATTCCATTTTACTGAAAAATATAGAAATTTTAATATTTTGCAAAGCTTGAGACTTTTTAATGAGAGATGAGAAAGAAAGACAGACAAACAATTGTGGTTATATTTGGAATTCGTCCTATACCTTTCCCCAAATCCTTTGCCCACCCTCCCTCCCTAGATGCAATTATTTTCATAAAATGGGTATTCTTCAATTGACATTCTAAATGTTTCACTTAATATGTACATAGCCATAAAATAAATAGTAGTCATGTTTTAAACTTGACATCATTTCATAACTACCCTTCTGCAGCTAGATTTTTATTGTTCAATTTTATGTT